AACGGATGATTTATGTAGAAGACAAGTCCGTGCATGATATAACACAACTGATTGATTACTCTGCATGCCATCTTTCCATATCATTCTTATTCTTATTCTTATTCTTATTCTTATTCTCATTCTTGTTCTTATATTATTTTTATATTCTTATGATTCTTATGATTTTTATGATTATTATTACATAATAAAGGATGGCATATATATTGCAAAAATCATTGTCGAGGCCTTATGAGCAATATGCAGGCAAGTGCATGCACTTCGATGACGACAAAGTGAAGACGAACATGAGACGAGACAAGAAATAAGTAAACCGCCGAGCACATCATTACTCAAAATATTCAATAAGGCACAGATGAAAAATAGATGAAAAATTGGCGCAGAGCGGCATAGTCGTGAAGCGTAAGTGCCTCGTCGCACTACTCGCCATCCGCCAACATTTTGACTGCACGTGGACATCATTTTGTCCAGATGCATTCGAAATCTTGGCGGATGGCGAGTAGTGCAACTAGGACCTAACTTACGGTTCTACCCTACTCGTACTTTCGGCCGGGCCCGTCAGAACATCGGGGCCATCATCAGGGCCTTGCGCAAAAAAAAAAAAAAAAAAAAAAAAAAAGAAGATTGGAAAGATGGAGAAAATCTCAGAAAAACTGCTTATATTAAAAAAAAAAAAAACAAAAAAAAAAAACTGCTTATATCTACTCCGTTACCCAAGAACCTGGGACCGTCGAAAATGCCGAAGAAGGTCTGGAATCCCGACCACCCTCAAGCAGATGGACCACAGACGGGACAAAATAGAACCTGGTGGTACCCTTGGCACTTCTGACAAGAACCGGTAGCAACCCTACAGTAATTCTGCGCTTACTGAAAAGACACAGTCAAAAAAAAAAAAAAAAAAAAAAAAAAGACACAGTCAAGGGCCCATGGTGGACAGCCCAGCAGCCCAGTTTATAAAACATGTTGACCTCCTAGACTACCATCCCCCAGTTCACACATCAACGTTAATTAATTAATGGCTTGTCGAAATACCTGGCTATTAGTGTCTAATGCCTTTTCGAAATACCTGTCTAATGCCTTGTAGATTGAGCAGAAAGGCTGCTTCTGCAGCTGGAAATGTGCCCATCGCATAATATGCTCGGTGTAAGAAGGAAACCCTCGCTGTCACAGCTCCATCTTTCGTGTGTCACTGAGCAGAAAGGCTGTTTCTGCAGCTGGAAATGTGCGATGGGCAGATGGCTGCTTTTTTGCAGCTGGAAATGTGCGATGGGCGCATGGCTGCTTTTTTGCAGCTGGAAATGTGCCCAATGCCCATCGCATAATATGCTCGGGGTAAAAAGGATGAGAAAAAAAAAAAAACAAAAAAAAACCCACCCACCTGCGATTTTCTGCTTCCGATCCGACTGCAGTACGACTGCCGGGTAATCAATACAGTAACTGCCAGTTCTGAAAAAAAAAAAAAAAACTGATACCCTTGCCTTCAAAGTTCAAACCAAATAATATCCTCAGCTGGTTCTTGCGCATGGCTTGGCGAAAAATTCGGGCTGGTTCTTTTTTCTTGTGGCACAAAAAATCCTGCAACCCAAATAATAAAATGGTGCGGCCGTTGCTTCCCACTAGTACTTGTCCTTTCCAGAGTCAGGTGATTATCGGACACAATTTGTTGAAAAAAAATCAAAAAAATTATTCAGAATGCCCTCTGCTCCAGGATGTGTTGTTGACTGATGCTGTCTGCTGTCTGCTGTATCCTATAGTACTTTACGAAAATGGAAACCACTAGTACTATAGTCCTTCCCACTAGTTCTTTACGAAAATGGAAACATCCAAAAAAAAATAAAAATAAAAAATAAAAAATGGAAACATCGTCAATGAGTCTACAACCCAACCCACCGTAAACCAGACGCGAATCAATTGAGCAAAAGTCCCTGCAGCCCGAACGAATTTGGCACCTTGGCCTGGATTCCATTCAATATTATGAATCAAATTACCCACTGGGCCACTGGTATATATGCTAATTGTACACAATTTCCCAGAGAGGGGGGAGGGGGGGGTGTAAAAAGAAAAATAATGTGAACTCGTTGTGGAAACGTAAAAGACAGGTTAACGTGGGACTTGACGACGATTTCCCCATGCTAGCCTACTACCGTCTTTCCCCGAACACAACGCACCCTCATTTTGGCTGTATCTGGCCGGAAACATACCTCGTATACGTTCCTTTTAAGGGTGCGTTATGTTCGGGGGAAGACGGTAGGTATCCCAATGTTCTGCTTAACAACCCTTCCCATCGGCATAAGCCCATAAGTACCTTCATGTCACTTTTGAGTCTCGAATAACAAGAAGGGAAAAAAAACACGCGGCGGCAAAGAAACCAGGCAGGCGCCTTCGCCATTGTTTTTTTGAAACCTGAACCTGGGGGCTAAACAACACCTGCCGCATCCGCCGTTGTTTCTTTTTTTCTTTTCTTTTTTCTTTTTCTTTTTTTCAATGTTTTTTAAGCACACTGACAAACGAAATTGTGGCCAAGTTCTTTCTTCTTTCCTAAATTTCCTTCTTTTATGTTGTTGTTGTTGTTGCGTGGCTTTTTTTNTTTTTTTTTCCTGAAACAGCTCAACCGGCAAACGGCGGGGCAAGTAACTTTGCAACCTTCGCTCTTCATTTTGTGAAATTTGTGTTGCCGAACTTTTGCAGCCCCCTCCATCAAATGGCATTTCGAGAATTTCTGCCGATTCCGGATGGGCAGCTGCCAGCTGCCAGCTGGTAGTCCCATCGATGAAGTAGTATGGTGGCTATGGTCATCAGCGGCCGTGGAAGACCCCAACTTCAAGTTGGAAGGGACTTAAGACCTAAGTTAGTGCTTGTAAAAAGTTGTGGGGAGACTTGTGCCAAAGATTTCTCCGCTCAGTCGAGCCAAACTCTGCTATGATCCATGAATGCATGAACTTATCCCAAAATTTAGTCCAAATTCAGCAATCGGCACGGCGGTACACAATTCGTAGCCACTTAGAGTCAACAGAACGGAGGGTGTGACCGAGTCAGACCGAACCACTCAACTTGTAAGTTGTGACTACTCTCTCCGCAAGAATATGCCTCCTGTCTCAGGCCTAGTGGGGTAAGAAGTGGGGATCAAGTCCCTCGATTGTAGAATACTAGAATAGATAGCAACGGTCTCCGAAATCCACTAGAACTTTAGTAGAAAACTGAACTCCACTAGAAATTTAGTAGAAAACTAACCACCTGCGCGAGTCCTCCCTTTTGGCTTTCTATGTACTCTGAGTCAACTAGAAAACTGGTCACCTGCCCGGGCTGCCCCTCCTCCTCCTCCTCTCCTTCCTCTGCATCTCCTTCTGCCTGGCGTGTTCCACTGTTCCTGATTGTCCTCCTTCCTCCTTCCTCTCCAATACAGTAACCGTGCTCCTCTCTTCGAACTATCCTCCTAAGACCTCCTTTTCCCTGCGCGGTGCATCCAATTGCACATTTCTACGGTCAGGTTCTCTGTATGGTTGTGACTCCTGTGAGTTAGGTCTAAAGTCAATTTTTGACTCTTTTAGAGAAGTTTGCTTCTGTGAATCTTTGTCGCTCGTAGTTCAGCTGTGGTGAATCCTCTCTCTCTCTCTCTCTCTCTCTCTCTCTCTCTCTTGCTATCCTCACACATCGAAAATCTGAGAATCTGTAACGTTTTAACTTTAAGATTCACAAGTGGAGGACAGTGAAGGTTATCATCTTGTAGAGGTGGAATATGCAGTCCGCAGACTCAGCACTAGTAGAAAAAGGTGGTACTCCGTCTCGATTCCCTACTACGATCATGGTTGACTCTTCGTCTTCTGTCCTTGGAGCTCATTACAAGTCATCGCTCTCATCGTTGATCGGCAGCATATGCTCTCTCTGCGAAGATGTGCGCGCCAACAAGCGCAACTGCACAGAGATTGGCCGGGTAATGATGATGCTGTACCCGATCATTCGCGACATCAAGTTCTCTGATTTGATGGATGACGCTCATGCGCGCATCTGCATTCACAACCTGCAGAAGGCTGTGGTGAACGCGGAGGCGTTGCTGAAGAAATGCGTGTTCAGTGGGCCGTTTACGTGGTTGGTACACAGCACACGCATTGCGCGCCGACTTGCGGACATCAGCACTGAGATCAGTCATTCCTTGCAGGTGGTCCAGATGGTCGTCGCGGAGAGCAATCGGAAGCAGCTGCGCAAGCTCAGAGAAGAGCTGTTGAATGTGAAGCTAATCGTGAGAGAAGAGGACTGGGCAATGTCAGAAAAAGTGATGGATAGTCTTCTGCACAACTTGGAAGATGAGGATGAAGGCGACGACTCTGGCGAGGAAACGGAAACGGATCATCATCAGGACGATATAGAGGAACCGATAGCAGCGAGCTGCAGCTGGGGCTGGACAAACGACAGAAGCGATGAAAAGAAAGATAGTCATTCTGAAACATTTGCTGCCACGACGATGGCGGCGACATCACAACGGTCATCACCTACGGCCGGCGCCAAAGGTGAAACAACAACTCCGCCACCTCATTCTCTCTCTCCACTGGCAGCTAATCATACCGGTACAGGCAATCTCCGTACGTCAGAGGCTTCAGGAGATCGCAATCTGTGGCTGGAGGAAGAACCTCCACCATCGTGGCGACTCAATGCAGCTGCAGCCGGTCAGCAAGACACACAACAGCAGTGTGTGACAGCAGTAGGCGACAAAGCAGATCTCATGTCGGAGATCAACTTCGAAGCGGGCACCGACATGGCATGCTTGATGCGACCTGCGGGCAAGTCTCGGAGTGACACTGTGAAGAATGCAAAGTCAAAGTCGAAGGGTCACCGCACGAGGCGTGAGGTGTTGCGAGAAGTTGCCGAGCACCTTCACGTTCCTGAGAGGGACGTTTGGCGGGAGCTCGCCGAAGTCGAGCGGGAAATGACAGAAATGGGCGTACTTCGAAACCTGTCTATCGACCCAAGTTCGCTGGAGTTGGTGCAGTTGATTGGTTCTGGAGGGGGCAAAAGCACGGGAGTGTGGGTGGGTAGACTTTGGGAGAAGGGCGAGAAGGGCACCGACGAAGGGTTCTTTTTGTCTTGTGAGGTCGCAGTGAAGCGGTTTCCATGTTTCGAAGGTGTGCAAATTTCCCAAGAGTACAAGAGGGAGGTGGAGATTCTCCACAGGGCCTCTTCTCGCTGCGATAATGTGTGCAAATTGTATGGTGTCTGCGAAAAAGGTGGACATCTGTGCATCGTCATGAAATTGTACAAGCACAGCATTCAGGATATCATCAAGAGGGTATGTCTGTTAAAGAAAGAAACAACTGTCACCAAATTTTGTGAGAAAGAAAAAAACACGAGGGAGAAAAGAAAAAAAGAACGAGAGGAAGGTCAGACCGGGTCAGAAATACAATTACTATTCTTAACCTTTTGCGGACTTTTTTTCACTTTTTCTGACTCCTTTTGCACTTGTTTTTCGGTTGACTTTTGTTTTTGGCGGATGCATCTGGGCGCGCCCACGGCCGCGGGAAAAAAAAAAAAAAAAAAGAAACGTGGCCGAGGCATCTTGGCGTGACCGCGGCCGAGATGCCTCGGCCACGCCTGTGGGGGGGAAAAAAAATAAAATGGCTGAGTGCCTGAAGCCCTAACGCTGAGTCCCTGAGTCCCTGAGGCCAGGGGCCTAGGGGTCCTTTGCTGTGAAACTTGGCAAAACGCGGTATTTTTGCTGGCAAACTACTGGAACCCGATAAAGCTGCAACGAAACCTCTATTTTTGCAAAGGAAACTTCAAACGGACGACATTTTTGCTGCCAAACTTTGAAACAGCAATATTTTTGAAATTAACCCTTATAATTATCCTTCCTTGCTTTTTTTAAGTTTTTCTGACTTTTTCAAGCTATGTATCATGACCGGGGGGTTCTGGGTGACCGCCGACTGGAGGTCATGACAGTGGCCAGGCGGCTGGTGGGTTGCTAAAAGGAGAGATGGGTAGAGGTGGAGAGAGAGAGAGAGAGATGTTGGAAGTTATTTGGTGGCCATAGCTGCCAATGTTTGACTACATACAACTTCATACGAGTTGTTGCATAAATAATGCTTTGAATTTCCAAACAAAAATTTCCGCAGTGTTCTCATCTTGCGTTGATTGCGATCTGGTGTTTGGAGTTACGCGTGACCACGTACGTGTGGAGTTATGTGAATTTTTGGCGGACTCGTTGCACCATAGTCTCCATAGACTTGATAATGTCTGAAATTCTGAATGTTGCGGCTGAGCAGGTAAATGGACCCATGAGTATGGTTGACGTGGAGCGATACGCTATCGACATGTGCAAGGCGCTGATGCAACTTCACCGTGAGCACATTATTGTGCAGGATGTGAAACCGGCGAACTTCTTGGAGGATGAGGAAGGAAACGTGGTCCTTGCCGACTTCGGCATTTCCAAGGTCGTGGAACGCACCACAGCCAAGTACAGTCCTACAGTGATTCGAGGTACATCCCGGTTTATGAGTCCTGAGGCCTGGTCCGGAGTTGCACTGTGGATGCAGTCTGACATCTGGAGCCTTGGGTGCACCATATTGAACATGATCACAGGTAATTATATGAGGCCTGGTGGCTGGTGTTTAGCTTGATCTCCAAACCATCTCAAGATTCTAGACCTGATCTCAACCCGGTTCAAACCTCGTCATTCCAACTTGGTCCTGGTCCCGTCCAGATTCAAACATAGTCCAGCGGCACCAGCCTGGCAGTGCCCAAATGATGGTTCAAAATTCAAATGTGGCCCAAACTGGGGCCAGACTTGATTCCCCCAAAATCCGATTAGAACACAGTGTGTAGGGCCTGTAGGCTTACACCACCGCCAGCTCCAGGCTCCAGCGGAGTGCAGCCTTCCTTGGGAAAAGTGGTAGAACCTCCCCACGACCGGCGCGGCGAAAACCTTTGTATTCATTTCCCCCCCAAGTTCAACAGGGCAAGACGTGCCACTGGCGCAGGTCCCAAAATGACTTTTCGCATCATTTTTGCACCCTGGCTGGCCCAGTAACGCCCGTCGTACGAAAATGAAGGGAAAGTCTTTTACAGGGACCTGGGTGCAAAAATGACGCGAAAAGTCGTTTCGGGACCTGCGACCCTTTCTGCCCCGTTGTGGTGGGGGGGGGGGGGGGGAGGAAATGAATACCGTAACAAAGGTTTCATCTCGGGCCCGGGAGGTTTTACAACTTTTCCCGCCAGGCCCTTCCTTTTGCCAAGGCAGATTCCCCGAACAAAAAACGCAAAACATATGGACGAGAACTTGTACAGACTTGGAAACTGACTTTTTCGTTAAATTTGAGGAAATGTTTTGCATTGCTCGCACGACGAAATTGAACAAGGATTTTTTTCAAAAGTTTGCATCTTTTTTGTATGGCAATGTATTTTTCTTATTCAGTGCTGATAACTTGGTGTTAATGCATCCCAGTGATCCCACTTTTTTTTTTTTTTTTTTTTTTTTTTTGGCCGAATCCCCTTCCATCAAGGAACCCAAGCATCCAGAAGGACCAGAAAGACTAGAAGGGTAGAAAGAGACAACAGTAAGATCCTTGCTGAGGCTTGGCCAATTTTGTCGCACGAGCAAATTATTTCAAATTTAACGAAATTTAACAAAAAGTCAGATCAGAGTTGTCTTTTTCTCGGTCATCGCTAGATTCGCTATGCATTTTGTATTGTACTTGCAAAGTCTATTCACATTAAAAAACACACTACCCCCAAAACAAAACAAAAAACAAAAACAAAACAAAACAAAAAAAAAAAAAAAAAAAAAAAAAAAAAAAAAAAAAAAAAAAAAAAAAAAAAAAACATGCAAACAAAACCCAGTATTGCTTCTCCTCTATCCACTTATGTTTGGAAACTCTGACTGAAAAAAAAAAAAAAACAGGATCATCATGGTTCCTAGCTTTCCGAAAAACAACTTTTTTTTTTTGAAGGAAGCTACATTCTTCTCTCAATTTCAGGTGACGTCCCATTTGCTGGCGTGAGAGACTCAGTTGTGGCCTTCAAGGTCTTGCACCAGGAAGCGAAGCCGGAAATTCCAGCAGGCGTGCCAAATCCGCTACGCAACGTTCTCTTACGGTGCTTCGAGTACAATGCATTTGACCGCCCTCAAGCGCACGAGCTGCTCGCTTTTTTTCTCCGCGGTTGCTCTCTTGAAGATGCCCCCCTTCAAACCCCACTTACGGACGTCTTCATAGAGCGCACACCGAGTCCCGTCAAGGACTCGAGAGCGTCTTCAGGAACTTCCCACTTAGCTGCGGACGCTTCAGACACTTCTGGAAACACCAGAGGAGGGGGTTCAAAGGGGAGTTCTGGCAGCGGCGCCCGATTAACCAAGTTGAGTGATATCATGAAGAAAGATGTACACATGGTGGTGAGTATAGCTTACATTACAATCCAATATTAGACCTAAATTTTTATTATGATTTTTGTTTTCTTTTGGGAAAACTTATGTTCAACTCGATAGCTGTATTATAGTCCAACGAGATGGTTCGAGCACGGCGCTGGGACCTCACAATTCAACTGGTAATCTGCTGGGGCCATCAATGTCAGGACCGGTATGGTTTCAATTTTGAACACCAGTACCTGGTCACAGTTGCAGTGGTAAAGGCATGTGGGTGGTATAGCCGAGGACACCGGTTTGATTCCGTATGGTTGCGGGACGATCAGGGGCATAACAACAAACATACGGACACGATAAGTTTTTTTTTTTTTTTTTTTTTTAATATTTTAAATGGACAAATGGACCACGGATCACATATTAAACTGATCAGAACAGATACTACACTTGATCTTAGCCAAAAGGCCGAGAAAGGTATTACGGACATGATTACGCAGTTGAGGCTAAGCTGGAAAAAGCATAAAAAAATGTTTATTATTGATTTATCATTGAAGTTTTATTATGAATCTGATATTATTCGGTATGGGATATTTGATAAACATAGTCTGTAAACATATTCTGACAATAAGGTCCGATGTGTGGCCAGGGGCGTGGTCCCACCAGCGAAGAGGATGGGATTGAATGCCTGAATCTGGACGTATTTGTAGAGAGGTGCAGGAAATCGAGATTGAACTGCTTTTCTGTATCTCTGCATAAAACACATCCAGATTCAGGCATTCGCTCCTATCCCCGTTGCTAGTGGGACCTCGGGCCAGGAGGTGTAACGAGGCAATTTTTGTGCCCATTTGACAACAACTGAATTTCGTTCACCGCGCAGTTGGCTGTTTTCTTATTGAGCCAACAGCGTGGCAAACGGAAAATTTAACGAGTTCGTGAATGGGAACAAAAACAACAAGAACTGCCGGGTCTCGCACGGGCCTAGTTCGAAAAAGCAAAAGAAGCTGCATGGCAGCTCGTAATATGAAGCGCAGATAATATGATCAGAACTACAGGGGCGGGCCGTGGTCTGCGGAGGGCCTGAGTCCCAGAAACGGCCAATTAAAAAAATAAGCACCACACTGTGAGTTACTTTTGCAGTTTCAAACTACTGTCCAGTGTAGACCCGAAGTTGTCACATGTTTTTTTTTTTTTTTTTCCCCCTTCCCATTCGAAAATCAAACCCTGACACCGGCGCAGACTCGCAGTTGTTTCTTTCTGAAAAAAAAAGTCAAAACAACGGCGGCCGAGTTCGCAAAGGCAAAGAAAACACGCACCGGCAAAGAAAACAGGCGCCGAGTTCGAAACGGAAATTTGGGTCAGAAAGCATTCGTTGGGCCTTTTTTTTTTTTTTTTTTTTTTTTTTGCGCCCATCTGACACCACGGCCGACTCCTGTAAATATGACACCGGCCTGACACGACGGCCGCTGGCACTTTCATTGTTTTTCGAGCTCGGCGCCTGGTTTTTCTTTGCTGGCACAGGTTCTTTTCTTGCTTATTCCATACTCAAAAGCGTCAAAACTCAAAAGTGGCATGGACGTACTTATATCTTCTTTCTTTTTTTCAGGCTGTATGTGGTTTCCGGTATATAATGTCCATGGTGTTCTTCTGGGGGGCCCAATGGGGGGTGTCTCAGGGTGTGGGTGTTCTGTGTCGGCCCTACTCCCGGGGTGTTCGACTTAGGACCAGGGTACCCTTCAGGGATGGAAAGGGGGGGTTGTTGGTCGCAAAATGTACAAGTCATGTCGCGGCATGCTACCTTTGTTAGCAGCTCTTGCAAACATCATGTAAGGCAGCACGTCGCGACTATGCAGAGTGACGCACACAGCGGAGCGCGGGAGTAGGGCTGATAAGTGTAAGCGTATGCTATCATGGTGAGAGCACCAGAGAACCATGTGATAGTAGTCGGCGGGACCACAGATTGTTTATTTGTTTATTTGTTTATTTATTTATTTTTTATTTTTTTTTATTTTTTTTTGAGGGTGACAGCCTTGGGATATCTTCATTGATCGGACCGGCCGGAGGTAATTCAGAATGATTCATTCCATTCAATGGCATTCATCAAGGTCCAGCAGGATTTGAACGCAGGTCTGTATTTCAACAGTTCATGCCATTGGGTGTACCAACCCAACTGAGCTAGGCCCGTTGGTCGACCGACGACCACAGATCTTAAACTGAGCAAGTATGCTTATTCAGCAATCATGTCCACAGAGGAGATTGTAACCACATGGCATCAACACAAAGCCAATCAACAACGCACCGACCATTAGAGGGAAGAAGATTTTGAAGAAGAAGACGACAGAAAACAGACGCGGCACAAGATAATATAAGTAACAAGTAATCCGAACGTGACTAACTTAAAAATGATACATGAAGCATATTAGTTGATGACAACAAGTTTCGCCTGGCGATGGACCCAAGTCGACGAAAACAAGTTGACCAAGGCCATGGTCGGAGTTGCGACAGAGCGCACGTCGGGGCAGACCGTCTGTCGTATTGTGCACAAGGTATGAATGAAAAAAATAATAAAATCTGGCTCGAGTTTTTCCGTTCCACTGGCATCCCCATATTCTCTGCAGCCTGGTTGAATTGAGTACGCAGTCACATCGCAGTGTGCTTCTGCTGCTGCTGTTGCCATTGTCCTTTTCTTTTTTTTTTTTTTTTTTTTTTTGGGTGCAGGGTATTGAAGCTCAGAAGAACCCGTCACACAGCTCACTGACAGAGTGTGAGATGTCCAGTGAGAAGAGGGCTAGTCTTCTCAAGCCGGGAGCGCAGAGAAGCGGTCCGTGTTGCGATACCTGCACGAGATTGCACGGCTCTTCCTCAATGCATCGTCACCATTGGGCATCGTTTCCATGGTCGAAGGACAGTTACTGCCTCTGGGGATGTCTTGTGGCATTGGTACTGATTGCTCTCTGCTTCAGTATTGCGATACCTTTTGCTTTTGTAAAGAGCATGAAAAGACCTGCAGTTCAACTAAGTAAGTATCGTTTTTTTTCCCTTTAATTATTATTATTTTATTTATTTAAAGTATCCACCTTGACCATTAAGAAAAAAGAAGAAGAAGAAGAAGAAGAAGAAACTTACGGCTTTGACGTAAAGTTGATACGCTGTGATGTGGTGTCGTCGTGATCAGCGTGAGAAATTGAAAGTAACTGTTGTCTTCACATGTGAGAAAAAAAAATATTTGTGTCATTTGAGGTTTAGAAATGGTTTTGGGTGCAATCAGACTCGTTTTCAAACACACTTTTCACACATGTAAGCAGTAACGCAGCATACTGGCGACATGCGCCCACTCAAAACTCAGAGATATGGTTTTCAGATACGAGTTCACTCCCAATTGGCTATGGCGACCTCAGCGCCCAAACATCTCACTGTTCACATACACTGGATCACCCTGG